GTCACCAGCCTCCTGTGGATGAAGCCAGGTGAATTCTCAACTTGGAAAAGCCTCAGGCCTAGCAGGGGCCACAGAATTCTCCAGGCTACAGTGAACAGAGGGGAGTCTTTCAGGTAGAATGAGACATGAACACTCCCTGTTTTTGCCAAAGCAGAAGAGGGGAATCCTAGAGTTTGTAGGGGCTAGACAAGATCAGGAAAGCTAGAAATGAGATGGCATGGTCAAAGCCTATATTCTATCATAGAAAGGCACCCCCCAGCCACCTACGGTGTTCCTATGCAAGTGGGGGAGTTGTCAGGGCTGGGCACTGGAGTCTTTCCCTTGGCTACATCCAGTAGGCCACGCTCAGGGGCATCCTCAGTCCTGAAAGGTTGAGGTGTATTGAGGAGTCCTCCTATTAGGGTGGCCCTTCCTCAGTTCCCAGACTCTGAGCCCTGCTGAATATTTAAGCTGTTTGTATATCTGTCTGCAACTCAAGATTTATCAAGTCCCACCTCACAGGATCAAGGACAGGAGGTTGGTCCAGAGTTGGGAGCCTAGGGATCTAGGGAAGCCCACTAGTCTCCTGCTGGTGACCTTGTCCACTTGCTTACTACTGTGACGTGAGAGAGCATCTAATAAAATAAGATCACCCTTTAAGGATAAAGTGACCAGAAGTGACACAGTTTGTTTCTTACTGAAACCTCTGGAGGTCAGAACCCCACAGGACACAGGTTGCTCCTTGTTCCTGAAGAAGCAGATTAGCAGCCTTGCCAATGCCCTGTGTTGGTTGAGATCCTAAACACCTGCCTCTAGATACCTGCCCATACAGCAGGCTGGGGACTCAAGCATCTTCCCAGAGCTTCCAAAAGCCCTGAGGAGAAAGAAGTATGACTGAATGGGGCCAGTTCTGCAGAAGTAGAAAAGATGGTCAGAATGCCATGAACAATTGTATGCCAACAGTGGATGGAAATTCCTAGAAGCACAAAAGTTATGACGTCCGAATTATAAATAAACGAAGATTTGAAAAAGCCCTGAGACTAGTTAGGGGGTTGGGTTAGTGCTCAAAAGCTACCAACTGAGAAAACCCCCAGATCTAGTGGCTTCACTGTCAAATACATGAAGAAGAACTAATATCAGTCCTTTCAAACTTTTACCAATAATCAAAGGGAGCAGTACTTCCTACCTCATTCTGCAGGACAAGTATTTGGTCTACTGTATGGATCCTGCATTAAAAGAAAACTTAAGGACAATATTTCTTCAGGAATAGTGATACAAAAGTCCTCAGTAATAACAAAACAATGAAACCAGATTTAGCAGTACATTAAAAGGATTATGCAACAGGGCTCAATGGGAGCTGTTGATGGAATGCAAGGATGGTTCAACTGAAAAGTGACAGAGTATGCACGAATTTACAGGAGACACACATACAAGGCATTCAATGCAGAACAAGAATTGACAAAGTGGAACAACTGTTCATGACAAAAATGAGATGACCTCAGCACAGTAAGCAAAATCTATACGGGGGTGGAGGACTGGCAGCTTTTCTGCTCGTGTATAAAATAAGGGGACCCTTGCTGGTACAAGCCACAGAGTGGACTTAGCAGTATAACTTGGCTTGGCCACTTCAGTTATGAGCCAGGTTACAGCCCAAGCACACACCTTTTTTCCCAGCGCCCCTGCCTTGTGATTATTTTCTTTGACTGTATTGCCAAGGATTTTACTGGTGTGAAAGGACAATGGGATATGAAACTCTTGGCATATGAAACCAAATCTTGACACAACTCAAAAGCACGGACATCATGCACCCTTCTCATCCCTTCACTCTAGCAGTATTCAAAGGGTTTCTCTGACATGCCAGCCAGCACTGATTATTGTATAAGTCTCATCTATTTCATGGTCTGTGATGGTTAGTGTTGGCTGGCAAAAGATTCCAGTCTCACTTATGAGGGATTGTCCTGATTAGGTTAGCCTCCATCCATGCCTGTGAGGTGCTATTTAAGATGGGAAGACTCACCCCAAAAGAGACTGCCATCTTTCCTGGGCTCTGGTTCTGGGTTGCATGAAAAGGAGGTGTGATTACCTGCCTTTATTACTCTCCGCTTTGTCACAATGAATGCAATGTGATCAGATGCCTCCAGCTCCTGCCACCGTGGCTTCCCTGCCATGATGAACTGTGAGACAGAATAAACCCTTTCTCCCTTAAGCTGTATTTGCCAGGGTATTTTTTTTATCACAGCAACGATACAAGTAACTATACACAGTCATACTCTAGTTTGGATCTCGATGTCCCTCCAGAGGCCTGTGCATCAAAGCTATTGACAGGTGGTAGGCATTTAAGAGGTATAACATAGTGAGACTCTTCAGGTCACTGAGGTCATGCACCTGAAGGCAACTATGGTAGCTGAGCACTTCCTCTTCCTCTCTCTCTTTCCAGCTATGAGGCCAGTGATTTTTTTTTCTACTAAGTACCCTATCATGGTGTCTCTCTTAACCCAAAGCAATTAGGCCAGCCAGACACTGAAATAAACCATTTATCTTGATACATTGACTATTTCCGGTATTTGTTACTGTACTGTGAAGCCCAATGATGCATCATAAAACAGAGACCTCCTAGAACCACACTGTGCCTGTATCCAGTTCACACACTAAGCCTCATGCCACCAAAAATGCCAAGAGAGAGAGACAGAGAGACAGAGACAGAAACAGAGACAGAGAGCATAACTGATTGCTGTGTCTGTGGAACCCAATAGAGGGTATTGACTTCCTTGAAGCTGTAGTTACAGGCAGTTATGAGTCACGAGAGACTCATATGCTCTTACTGCTGATCCTTCGCCCCAGACTAGCTTTTGCCCTTTTGTAACTGGCGTCTGCTCTTAGCTCAACATCCTCAGTGTTTCTACATTCTGTAAGACATAGCACAATATGCTCCCCTTTAAAGTAGAATAATAACTCATCATACATACCTAGTACATTTTGTTTATCCCTTCATCCATTGATGAGCATTTAGGCTGCTTCATCATTGGCTTTAAAGAATTACTCCAGGACATATAAACAGTGAATAAGATAGTTTTAAAAATTAAAATGAAATATTTTAAGCAACAACAACAACAACAAAAAATGAAACAAACCCTGGCCTGTCACAGAAAGACTTCCCAGATGTGTTGTTAAAGAACCCAAAACTGGACAGTATGGGGGATATGCAATTGTGTGTGTGTGTGTGTGTGTGTGTGTGTGTGTGTGTGTGTGTGTGTAATAAAAGGGGGAGAAATATATGCTTATATTGTCTTTGTGTATAGAAGCTATAAGGCAATAGATAAAACTAATCAAAAAGTCATTCATACTTACAGGAAAGCACATATGGGGGAAGGGCCTGGGACCTCCATGTGCTTCTTGGAAAGGCTCGTTTTTCCACATATGGATGTGTGATGTCCCCGTCACCCTGTGCTCTCCCTCATCCCCTACTCTATAGCTTAAGACTGACACCTGGCTCCTGCCATCTAAGCACATGTTCCATAATCATCCCAGCCTTCACCCACATTGATCAATAGCTCAGGCTTGTTACTAACTAGCTCTTACAACTCAACCCATTTCTATTATTCTATGTGTTGTCCTGAGGCTCATGGCTTTTACTTTATATCCAATTCGGTGTGTCTGACTGGTTTTCTGGCTGGCTGGCATCTCCTCAGACTCTGCCCTTCCTCATCACATCATTCTCAGTTTGGGTTTCCTGATTAACTTTATCCTGTTCAGCTATTGGCTAGTCAGCTTGTTCATTAGACTAATCATATCCACATATATGCACACAGTGTACAAAAGGATTATTCCACGGCAGGGGTGTTGTTCTACAGGTTAATTCCTGCCTTCAGGTTTCAGTGCAATGACCTCTCCAACTTCCTACTTGCACCCTGTCCCCTCTCAGGTCATCCCCGTGGGACACTCCTTCAGCTCCCAGTGTGAACTTGGTGATTTATTCACCTACCCTCATAGACCCAGCATCAAACGCTTGATGCTAAGCCAGGCCCCAAGGTATTCTGGGAGCTTCTCTGTCTCATGTAGCATCCCTAGTCTATGGTTCCTTTCACCATGTGGCAGACTGCTGCCCTGTCCCATGGAGAGCCAGTGTTGCCTCCATACTGTCAATGGCCCTTCTTGGAGAGGCTTCAGGGTGCAGAGGTGGCAGGCATAACACAGGAGAGGGGACCTTTTAAGATCACACACTGGCCTATGGCTCAGGCAGAGCATCCAAGGACTTTAGCACTGTTTTTGGAATGTGTCTGCTTTCAGTCAGACCTGGTAGTGCAGGCCTATGATCTCAGCTGCTCAGTAGGCTAAGGCAAGGGGATCATGAGTCCAAGGCCTGCCTGAACTACAGAGTGCATACAAAGCCAGCCAGCTTGGGCAACTTAGAAGACACTGTCTCAAAATGAAAAGCAGCAAGGGGGCTGCAAGTAGAGCCCTTAGGTTGTACTCCCAGCTCTCTCCTCCAAAAGAATGTGCCTACTTTCCCAGATCCTCATAGTGACCAGATGAACTCAACGACCTTGAGCTTATGGTCCCTAAAGTCCAGTCTATAGGACCCCAGGGGAACAATAGCTTCCAAATGTCAAGGAAGATCTGGGATTGTTCCTGAACCCCTTGTCTGGATCAGGATCATCCCTGAGCCAATCTTTGTGGCCAGTAGCTGGGGGAGTGTGGTGACTATTGAGGACTTGGAAAAACAGCTTTTCTTGTGCATGGTGGCACTGGGCGAATCTGAAACCGGAGGGCTGCTGAGAGTTCCAGGCCAGCCCAAATTTTAAAGATGAGAAGTGGAGGAAGAACTAACTTTATGGAGAGGTTTTCCAGAAAGAGAAGGTTCTAGGAAAATGGACAGTAAAGAATAGGTTGTCCCTGGAGGAGGAATTGACAGGCTATAAGAAAATACAGAAATAAGGGACACTGGCAGCCTCAAATGGACAGTGACAGGCAGGGTCCTCCAGCCTGGAGCCCAGCTCAGGTTACCTCAACTGCCATTGCAGGCAGGCATGCCCCGGACACTGAGCGCCTCCGACATGGTCACCCCGGGCAGCCTCAGCCCACCTCCCACAGAATCCACAGAAGGAGAGCAGGCTGGACAACCCCTCCTGGATGGAGCGCCATCTTCAGCTTCTCTGGACACTCTGATTCAGCACCTAGTGCCCACAGCAGATTACTACCCCGAGGTAGGTGAGCCACCTGGTGGGGGCTGGGTGCAGGAGCAAGCTTGGGGCCGCTGATGGGCCTGGGAATGGCCTTGTGCCTGGGAAGTTGGGACAGGCTGGCGACACACTGTGTCCTGATGAGTTTGTGTGGTATCCTTACCAGAAAGCTTACATCTTCACCTTCCTGCTGAGCTCTCGTCTCTTCATCGAACCCCGGGAGCTCCTGGCTCGGGTTTGCCACCTGTGCATAGAGCAGCAACAGCTGGACAAGCCGGTGCTGGACAAGGTGAGGGACTGGGCAGGCTGGGGCCCCTGAGTGCATCTCTATCCCAGGGCATGACCTCACAGCATCAGCCTCTCTGGAGGCTCTGGTTGCTCTGCCCTCTTAAGCTACCTGAGGCCCAGGATCTGCAAGGTAGGCACCCTTACACCTGTGCCATTTTCCAAAGCCCTGTGAGATCGTATTAAAGCCAGACCTGGGTCCCCAGAGCCTAGTCTGTAGGGCCGTTACCACCTGTGACCTGGGATGGCCCCATGTCTGCTGGGCTTCCATCCAGTTGCATTCCATTTCTGTGTGAGAAGGATGGTTTCTCCATGCCATGGCTCCTCAGACCCTTCCCTTCTCCCTGGCCCGATCCTGTGAGTTATGGTTTTCTACACCTGTGTCAGTCAGGTTTTTGGGTACTGTGGCAGAAACCCAACTTCAACCGGCCCAAGAAAAGGGACATGGGCTTCCTCACTTGGATGCTCTGTGCTGATTTCACCTGGGACTAAGGCCTCGCCTTGTGCTGGCAGATCCCCCTGCATTGTGGTAGGGGAGACCTTCTAACTTTTCAATTGTGTGGAAAGACCTTTAGAGGTAAAAGGTTGAGATTTCGTTGGCCTAGCTTAGGTCCTATGCTCATCTGTGCAGTCATTACACATGAGGAATTAGAATGCTAGGATCTGATTGGCCATCCCTGCGCTGAGTCAGCTGGGCCTGAGCCTCTGGGAAAAGAGAGGGACCCCATGGGAAAACCAAGATGCCCTAACCCTCGGAAAGGGAGAGGCCAGGGATGCTGTAGAAATGAGATGGACCCAGCCTGAAGATGTGTGCCTGCCTTGCTCCTGTCTCCTGTGTGAGCAGGGCCAAGTCAGCACCTCACCCCCCCATCTATCCTCTGTTCTGTTGTGTGTCTCCCCCCTTTCCCCCCACCATGCTGCAGGCACAGATAGTCTGAGGCTTACCATAGCTTCTTCGAGAGCCCATGGTATGATCCAGATGGGCAGAGCATGCTCAGTGAGAGGCTCATGAGGCTCTGAGACCTTCTGGCCACACCCCTCCAAGCGGCTCCTGCTTCTGCTTTGCCTTGCAGGCCCGAGTCCGGAAGTTCGGTGCCAAATTGCTCCAATTGTTGGCTGAGTGGACTGAAACCTTCCCACGGGATTTCGAAGAGGAGTCCACCATCGGGCACCTAACAGACGTGGTGGGCCGCATTGCTCCTTGTGACGAGGTGGGACAGCCAGGGTGGACATCACTTCCCCTTCCTGTATTTTCCTATCCAGGACCTGAGCCCGTTTCCAGCCTCCTCTGGGCTCTCCTCTCCCCACACTGCATAGTACAACCCCTCAGTGGGCCCTCTGGAGCTGATGGAGGAACCAGGCCCTGCATAGCTGGGAGGAAATCCAAAGCCCCGTACCTCTCCCTTCTGTCCTGGCAATGGTAATTAGGTGATGAGTAAGACCCACCAATGGGCTCAGATGGATTGGTGGCCAGGCAATGACTCTCTGACCCACTAAGCCACCTGCAAAGTCTCATATTCAGGGGCATGTGCTACAGAGGCCTCCCTCCCACTGCCCTTCTCCCCATGCAGAGTCAAGCTGGCGGTCAGTGCTTGTGGCCAAGGACCTATAATTTGGGGCAGGAGAAGGGCTTCACAGATGAACCACAAGGGCAACCAAGAGAGCAGGTTCCCCCAGATGCCTCCAGTTCCCAGCATAGCTCCTCGGTCATGAGGAGTGGCGTCATCTCTGGGGTGACGTTTACCACAGGCTAACACACTCAGGGATCTACTCTGGGTTACTGGTTGAAACTCTTGGGATATGTGGGTATCTGAATAAATCCAGGGAGTCCAATGGCATCCCTGTTTAGAAGTAGTGTCTCTGGGGCTGACATGACTCAGTGGTCAAGAGCTGAAGGATGTGAGTTCAGTTCCCAGCATCTATACCAAGCAGCTCACAACTTACCTGTAATTCAAACCCCTGGAGACTGCAGCCCTCTTCTGGTCTTTGAGGGCACCTGCGCTGAAGTATACACACCTACACACAACACATATACATCCATTTTTAAAAATCTTTTCTTTCTTTCTTTTTTTTAAAGAAATAGGGTCTCTGAAGGAGAGACGATGGATTTTTCCCTTGTACATAGAAGAACCTCGTGTCCCTGCTCCTAGCTCAGGATATAATTCAGAGTAGGCTATTGATCTGAATTCCATGTGGAGTGGATTTGTCCTTGCCCTGTTCACAGAGTACATGCTACATGCCCTGAGCTGGGCTGAGCTCTCTTAACAGAGATGGCACATCCTGCCCTATGCAGCATCATTCTAGCGGGGCCCCTCTAAAAGAAGTCACACTGAAGAAGTCACACTGCCAGGGACCGAGGCAGGAGAGTGAGGCCTTTCTGAGCTGGGCTCCAGAAGCAGCATGGTCCCCACTGGAGCCAGGAAGAAACCAATCTTCCAGGCAGGGCCTGTCCTATGCCTTCCCTTCCTCCTCTTCTTTCCTGGCTTGTCTTCCCCACTCCACCCTGAGGCCCAGACAACTGGTACATGTTAGCCAGAGAGGTTCTACCCAAATTATTTCTCAATTCACACTCGTAACCCAGCAGCTTCTCCCCAACTGGTTTTCACTTTGGCCCCAACTACATGTCCAAAGCAGGGTCCTATTTCAGGATGGAACAGGTTCCAGGATGTTTGCGGATACTTGGCCTTGTCCACACACACACACACACACACACACACACACACACAGAAGCCTGCAGCTGGGGTTGAGTTTGGGATGGGGGTATTCAGGCCTGAGCACCTTCTCCCCTCACCCCCACCCTAGACCTATGGGAACAGGATGCATCAGCTTCTACAGGCTCTGCAACAGAAACTGGCATCACTTGGCCAGGGACCAGAAGGACTAGTAGGAGCAGACAAGCCCATCTCGTACAGGACCAAGCCACCAGCCTCCATCCACAGGGAGCTCCTAGGTGTCTGCAGCGACCCCTACACACTGGCCCAGCAACTGACCCATGTGGAGCTGGTGAGTGGGACCCAGGAAAGGGAGCAATTACAGACAGCCAACGCTGCCTGTCTTCATGCTAGCCCAGGGATCCAAGCCCAGTGACCAGGGACATCTGCAGAAGACCCTGGAGCAGTCCCTCAGCATTCTTGGGCCTGGGACAAGAGATGCCAGCATAAGAGTCTAGACTGAGGACAGAGAGATTGGGTTCAAACTCTCATTAAGATGCCATTCACTGTGTGCTCTTCTCAGGCCTAAGGAACTCCCATTTGGGCCCTACATGCATGGGGGCGGGGATGGGGGTGAGGTGGAGGCTGCCCTCCTCAGCTTTCCAGGGCTGCAGCTAAGCCCTCCCTCCTTCATGCAGGTAAAAGGGAATGAGCTGACCTTGCCCCACACACGGGACTCTATGAGGGTGCGGAGGCCAAAGGGCCCTAAGAGAGGCAACAAAGGGAAGTGGCATCATCCTGTCACACCCATACCCCCGATGGCGCCCTTGCTGCCTCCCAGCGTGTAACCCCTCCCCACACTGCCCATCTTCTCTGACTCTTCTCCCTTCCCCATGCAGGAGCGACTAAGACACATTGGACCTGAGGAGTTTGTCCAGGCTTTTGTGAACAAGGACTCCCTGTCAGACACAAAGGTAAAAGGTGTTTGGAAAGGCTGAGACGACAGTGGCCTCCACCCAGTGGTGGCCACCAGGAGGCAGGGCAGTGATATGGATGGCTTCGGCTGCAGAAGCCTTGATGATGCCCAGAATGGAATGGAGGGCCCCTGGCCACTACACCCAGGCCTTTCCAGCTCAGATGACAACAGCACTGAGTCCCAGGGAGCCCAAGGGACTGACTGGACATACCTCATCAGATCACTCATCAGCCAGGGTGCAGGTGTGGTCAGGAAGCCTGCTATCACCTTAAGTCAGGCTTCAGCCCTGAGTAGGGATTGGATATAGGGTGCATCCTGAATGGCCTGGGACCTGCAGGTCCTCTCTGTGCGTTTTGGTGGGCACTGGTGCCCTCCAGCGGCCACTGAGGGAAGTGCCGGCTGTTGCCCCATGCTTGAAAAGATTGGGCACTTTGAGCTAGCTCATTGCTAGTAGAGGCCCAACCACTGCAGTAGGGTTTCTAACCAAAGGGCTAGATCCTCTATTTATCTAACATCTAACAAAAAGAGTGCAAATTAAATGCTGTAATATATGACTGACTGCCTCTTTTGTCTCTGAGAGAGGCAAAGATCATAAACTAGACATACTGTGGTTTTGGAAGGAAAGCAGGCCTCTTGTTTGCTGTCAGTAAAGATCACATGACTTTGTGTAGCCCTATGTCCTCAGGCTGGGAGTTGCAGGTCAAAGGCAGAGGACTCTGCAGGAAACCCTAGGTTCCATTCCAGTGCCAATCTCCTGGGGTAGAGGGTATCACAGGTATGTAGTTGAGAATTTGAAATTCTTGTGAGATATTTGTCCATATTCTTGTTAGATGCTACAAGTGCTGATTTTAAACACTCATTGTAATACGAGACCTAAAAACATATCAGTGAGCTTTCCATACATACACCTTGAATGTGTGATTATTGACCACTTTTTAAAAAAAAAAAAAGCCTGGAGATACTTATCTCCCCACTGTTGGGAGAGGAAAACCCATGAAAACCCCGAGGCTGTCAAGCTCCCAGAGGTGGACAAGGGTTTTGTAAGTTCCCAGTTTTCTCTTGCAAGCTTGAACTTCATCGTTGGCAAACACATGCTGTGAATTGTTTTCTTGGAGGTGACAAGCTTTTCGCTCATTATCAAGGCACAACAAGTCAGATGCTGATCTGAATAATAAGTTGCCCTGTCATTCAAGTCAAAATAATGTACAGTGAAGGCCAGCAGTCTGTTCAGCTTGAGGCCAGTCAGGTGCTCCCACTAAGACGACAGCAATTATTGTTATATTAATTTTGTAACTGACAGCATTGAATAGAACTTTATTTTAGGTATTGGGGGTTGAACCTAGAGCCTTGTGCATGCTAGGCAAGTGTTCTACCACTGAGCCACCACGATGGGAGCCTCTAGCAAGTGCTCTTACCCACTGGGCCACTCCCCCCGCCAGCCCCTGAGACAGTATTTGTTTTGTTTCTGTGGCAGCCATAAAATAGAAATCCCTCAGGTATAGGAGGGACATGACTAGTAGACAGGCCTTCGCCTATCACTGTAATTCTGTGAAATGCTAAGAACGTTACTTAATGCAGGGCATCCCCAGCCCAATTTTGCTTGCACCAGCTTGCACCCCTGCTGCAACACCAAGCAAGAGGGTTGAGAAAAGACAGCCTTCTTTTCCTGATTTTAGAAGGATCGCTTTAAGCAGGCCATACAGGAGTGCGTTTGCCGTTGGTTGTTTCTTCAGGCATCAGAAAGGTGCCTTGCTTCTTAGTTTGCCAAGAGGTCCTTCATGCATGGTTGCTAAGTTTTGTTGAATTCTTTCTCCAGCTTTATTACTCTGCGAAGACTGAAGGCATTAGAGATTGTCTCCATTGCACCAATATGCAGTGGCATCACATTAAGGAAAAGAACCTAATACCTCTCCTTGGAGGACTTTGACCAAGACCGACCCCAAATCTGAATTCTCCACTCCTCTCCATGTGTCTTCTGTCTCTGCGTGGCTTATGGCTTTTGGCCTGTCTGTAATCTGTCTGTCAGTCAGATGAGTCTGATTCTGTGCCTGCCTGCATGAGTCCTTGGGAGTCTGTCCCTAGCAAAGGGCTTTGCTCTCCTTTATTAAACAGCACAGAAAGTGTCACATGAGGAAGAATTGATGGACACTTTACCGAAACCTCTAACGGTTTCTCAAGGGATGAACCTACCCATTCCAACTGACCCAGATAACAGACAGTTGTGCAAACAGACTGTCTCCATGTTGTTTTCAGCATTTGTGGCAGGTATTTATTGCACAAGGTCTTTTTTCCCCAGTTTGCTGTTTCCAGCAAATTATTTTTGTAGCACACATACAAACACACATGCATTGCTCTGGGCCAGGAGCATGGAAGAATACATAATTTAAGATTAAAGCTATGTTTTAGCTTAGGCTGCAAAAGCCGATTATGGGAGAAATGTAAGCAAGTATGGATGTTTTTACATTGTTCTCTTAGAGGCAGGTTGAACAAACAGGCCAAGTCCACAGCAGAGTACTGGTCCCTCTTCAGGAGCCTCAAGGTCCAGCAAAACTTCCAGGCTCTGAAATAAGCAGAACTGGCATCTCTTTGGTGCATCCCTGGGTCCTGTGTGCTGTGTGTTTGGTTTAGAGTGTCTGCCACTGTTAAGCATGAGTTAGACTGATCTGCTACTTTTCTTCCTTTGGGGTACTCTCTCTGTCTTTTCTCTATTAGGTATAAAAGACTGGAATTACCTATTATTGGAGCATTGGTCAGCATTTGCCAGGGAAACATCTGAATTTGATGTGTTCTCAAGTTTTTCTGGTTGGATTGTTTCTTAGTTTATTCTTACTATTATTTAGTGACTAAAGGACTATTTAGGTTTTTTATTTCTTCTTCCCCTACCCCAAAGTGGTACTGAGGATCAAACAGAGGGCCTTCCGGTTCCTAGGCAGACACTCTACCATTGAGCTACATTCACAACCCTCCTTTTTGCTTTTTTAAAAAAATGTGTGATAGAATCACCCCTGCCTCAGCCTCCTGGGTAGCGGGGCCTGATTTTTCTCTTCCTAACTTCTTCTAGTGTTTCAAGATTTTAACCATTTCCCTTAAATTCTCACATTTGCAGATATAAAGCTACTCATTATTAGTAACTATTCTGTTAAATTTCTTCACATCCACAGTGGCATCTCTTTGATATTCTTTGTGATTTACTTCTATGTTTCTTCATCAATGTAACAATCACATCACTGGGGTTACAAGTGACAGCCACTAAGTGTGGCTCTTTTCTGGCTCTGAGTCATCTCCCCAGCCCAGCCTCCACCATTTTGAAGACATGATCCTTAGCACAAACATGGTTAGACTCAAGACATTTTCCTAATGAATTGAACTTCTTATCATGTAGTTATCCTTTAATTGCTTTTACGATGCTTTTCCCTCAGAATATTTTTTCCCTTAAAAACCTGACCAGATATTACAGATCTTCCTGTACTCCCAGTGGGGTTCTATCCTGATGAGCCCACCACAAAGTTGAAAAATCTTCCGTTGAGCCAGCAAAGGTTGGCAGCTATCAAGTGAATGGGATCTGCTTGCAATTGCTGATCTTCAGAGTTTGTCCTCATTGACTCCTGTGCCATTTGTCCTCTTCCCTGACCTCCCAGTTTCTTTCTCTCTTCTTTCTTTACAGCTTTCCCCATCTCCCTCCTCTATGTTAGCTGGAAATTATCCTGGTAGTTTTAACAGACACATATTTTGTTTTTTTTTTTTTTTTTTGAGAGTTTTTCTCTGCAGTTTTCTAGTTGTCCTGGAACTAGCTCTGTAGAGCAGGCTGGCTTTGAACTCAAATATCCACCTGTCTCTGCCTCCTGAGTGCTGGGATTAAAGGTGTGCACTACCACTACTGGCTCAACATACACATTTCTTTACTTAAGTTTACTCATTTAAACAATGGCGTGTGCATGCACGTGCGCGCGCACACACACACACACACACACACACACACACACCATACATAGAACGTTCAGTGTAGATTGAAATTTGTTTTTCTCTAAACATTTTATGACTCGGGAAAAGGTTAAGATGGAAATCTATAGTTATGGATATGCACTTGCATGCACACATACATACATAGAGTTGATTATGCTATTCCTACTCACTATGTTCTAGAGTGCCAACACAAACATCAAATCAGCAATCCTAAGCCATTGCTCCTGGGGGAAAATGTAGCATTAGGCTCCAGCAAACTCCTCAATACTTTGTACATGCAGTCAACACATAGTCATGGTTATGTGCTTTTGTGTCCCTGACTAACACTGAACTCTATCTAGCAAGTGGCCAGGCCAACTCATGTCTAGGTCTGAGCTGTAGCTCTGGAGTAGAATGCTTGTTTGCCATGCACAAGGCCCTGGGTTTCATCACCAGCACCACAGAAAGGAAATATTTATCTGTATAGATATCTAATCTATCTACCTGTCTGTCTGTCTGTCCATCTGCCTGTCTATCCATCCATCTGTCTATCTACATCTGTACATTCACAGATAAATGAAGGCTATCTAGCATATATTTTCTCTGTAGAACACACCATAACCTTTATGTGCTTAGGAATAAAATATATCATTCCAGTATTATTCTTGGAATCCTTTCAAAACCCTGAAACTATTCTCCAAAGAAAACACAAAAATAAAAGAGACACTAAATAAAGGATCCTTGCTCCAAGAAACAAGACATAACAGCTTCATTTAGTTCAGTCTTCACTGGAAATACTTATGTAAGTTGAGTGGTTCAAATATTTTGCCTTTCTGTCCCTGCACACCAACAGATGGGAAAGTAATGCAAGCTATTGGAACTGAAAAAAAATCAAGCAATAGACTAATTTGCAAATACAGAATCTATACAGAATAAATATTGATTGTGTGTGCATACCAGTAAATTTTGAGCTACAGCCTCATTAATTCATATATTTGTACCTCATCTGGTGCTGTGGATGGAACCACGGACTTCCACATTGTGAGTATGCAATCTACTGCTGAGCTTTATACCCCAGTCCTCCTCTTTGTCTTCTCCCCTGCACTGTGATGGTGGAGATGAGCCCAGGGCCACCAGCCTATAGGAAGGAGACAGGAAGATACACATTGGGTCATTGTGTTTCTGGCCGACTTTGAGACTGTCACAGTGTCTGGATTCTCTGTAATGACTGTGATCTGATTCTGCACCCTAAAATCTTACCAACAAGGAGATTCAGCCCATATGTCTTTCCTAGCCCCGCTTCAGTGACAAGACTAACAACGTAGAGGCCTATGTGAAGTGGTTCAACAGACTGTGCTATCTCGTAGCAACGGAAATCTGCATGGTGAGTAGCCAGTGTGGCCCTATCTGGCAGCCAGAGGCTCCCTGGGGGGGTACTGAATCCCAGCCTCCCAAGTCCAAGGTATGGCTGGACCACCATGCCAGACCAGGTTCACCTCTTTCCTCCAGTGAATGTCCCTTATAAGTAGATCTCAGGGTGGCTCCACAGGGCCAAGGCTGCAGAGGAAGCTGGGCCATTTGCTGAGAAGTGAGGGCAGCCTACTGTGTGTGTCAGTCTGAACCTGACTGAACTGGGAAAATAGCTCATTAAAAGTCCAGGCCAACAATGAGTTTAGAAATAAATCTATTCCTAAGGCCTTTATTTTATTTAACATCAAGCCCCTATTACTTTTTACTAGTGTCTTTTTACTAGATTACACTAGAGTGTAATCTAAAGCTATGCTATTCTTAGTGCTGTTAGTAAATGATATTTGGGGGAGAAAAGCAGGTTATTGCTACAGGTTTCACTGTATCTATCAGCCTTGCTTTGAATATTTTTATTCAGTGTTCTGAAGGAAATGAACGATTTCACTCAAACCATCAGTCTCCTGTGCACTTTTTACCTGTCATTTTCTGAATATAGAAAATGATGGACCATAATTCATAAAAAACCAAAGTGAAAAACAAGTCCAAGCCAGTGATTGCTTCTTCAGCAGGAAGTTCTGGCATCCCAGTGTTAAACACACTGGCCACACTCTGCCTGTCACCTTCTTTTCTTTTATACCAAGAGTACTGTCCTCTAAGGGGAAGCACACAGGACAGGCTGGCTAGTCCAATTGGGCTTGCTAGGTACAGGCTGTGAGACGAAGATCAAGAGTCAGCGCTCATTAGGGGTCGGCACCTGAGAGATGAACAGGGCAGTCGGGCTTATACTGAGGGAGAAACTGCCCTGTGGTGTCCATAGTGGGGTGAGAGGTCAGCTTTTATCTAAACCTTACCTGATGGTCATTGGTTAGTGTTGCCATTTGAAGGACAGGACTAGACCTCAGGTAGGCAGCTCTCTGCAGCAGAGACCTCTACTTGGAGGAGCTTTGGTGGCACACCTACAGAGGTGTCACAGTACACTCTTGGTGGCTAGAGAGATTGCTATTGTGTTGACAGACAAGCAGGATCCACCTGAGTTGTACTGGCCTGGCCCTGTTCCCATAGTCATATTACTGGCTCGGTGGCTAAGCCCAGGTTTACCTGTGTGGAGGCTGGACAGAGCACACCTGGACACCCAGGAGCAGACAGTTTGATTCTAGCCCACCAGAAAGGTAGAGAGTGCCGAGGTAACTTCTCACAGTGGCCTGGTTTTCTGACAGAAAGTCGGGTAGGGGGAGCAGCACATAGAGCAGGACCCAGACTTGGTGTACGGCCCTCACTGAGGAGGGAGCACGTTCCGAGATGGGAGGAAAGGAAACAGCGGTACCTCTGTCTTCCAGGGGAAAGCCTTGGGGGCGGGGGACCATCCCAAAGATGCCTCACCAGCCCTCTGGTGCTGCAGGGGCGTGTGCACCGCATACCTCACCGTCACACTGCCCTCCACACTTGTGATGTGTGTGCTGGCTCTTCTGTGAAGGACCCCAGGCCCCTGGGCCTTGGACTTCTCAGTTGTGAAGTGGGCTTTGAGAAGGGCAGGAGGAGGCTGGTTGAGTGGGGTGTTTGAGCAGGGAGTGGGAGGGACACACACCCACTGGAGCTCTGATGTATGATGTCCTGCCCCCAGCCAGCCAAGAAGAAGCAGAGAGCGCAGGTGATCGAGTTCTTCATTGATGTGGCCCGTGAGTGCTTCAACATCGGCAACTTCAACTCCCTCATGGCCATTATCTGTGAGTGATCTTACCAGGCCTGGAATACCCTGTGTGAGGCCCACTAGAGAGGTTAAAGTGGGCACGGCTGGCAGGTGGGGTGCACGTCAAGGGTCTTTTCTGCAATGGGTGGCTATGGGCTAGGTGGCCAGGATCCCTGCTCCAGAGGCAGATGGAGCTGTTCCATTATGCACAAGAGAGGAAGACACCATGGGACAGAGTTCAAGGGGAGGGGTTTTTATTAGGAGAAAAGGATCATCAAAGGGGGTAAGGGGAGGGGGAGACCGGCCTCAGGGGACAGGAACAGGGGAAGAGAGGAAAGAGAGGCAGAGGGGAGGGAGGGTGGAACACTCAGAAAGAGGCAGAGAAAGAAAGAGAGGAGCATGGGAGGTGGGCAGGGCCCTTGTAAAAGGGAACATGGTGAATAGGCACAGGTGGTGCTCGTAGTGGCTGCACCTGAGGGTGTATCCTGTCAGATCTCCGAGGGCAGGCCAGTTCAGACGCCTGAATACTAACACATGGTCAGTCCCTAAGTGGTGCATTTGAAGAGGCTGGCAGTGTGCACCCAGAGACAGAGAGTATGAGGAGACCAAAATGGGTTCTGATGATGCCACGGGGGCCCATGTAGTTGGGACATGACCACCTCAGTACAGTGTACACCAGCACCAACCCACCCAGCTACCCTTCAGTCATAGTCAGGGCACAGAGACCTCTGCCTATGGGAACAAAGGGGACCGTCCAGGCTAGAGGAGCCCTCCCAGCTCTATATACCTTCTTCCAGCCGGCATGAACATGAGCCCTGTCTCCAGGCTGAAGAAGACTTGGGCCAAAGTGAAAACAGCCAAGTTCTTCATCCTAGAGGTAAACAGGGTTGCTGCTTCAGGGAGTGTGTCCAAATGGTCCCTGAATATGGCTGCCCAGATGCCTCCCTGTCTCCTTCCAGCACCAGATGGACCCAACGGGGAATTTCTGCAACTATAGGACAGCCCTGCGTGGGGCGGCTCACCGCTCACTGACTGCTCATAGCAGCAGAGAGAAGGTAAGGAAGAGACAGTCCAAGGTCAGAAGGGTCAGCCTTGATAGCAGGCTGTATCATGTACTGATTAATCAGCTTTCTGTCACTGTAATCAAAGAGCCGACACAACCAACTTATAAAGAAAAAAGGTTCTGCTTTGGCTGAGTTTCAGCGGTTTCAGTCCATGACTGATTGACTTTGTTGCTCTGGGCCTTTTATGGGAAAGACACATGTTAAAAATTAAGTTGCTCACTTGGTAGTAGGGGAGCCAAAAAGAGGAGAAAAAAAACACAGGCTGTCATGGTTCCTTCAAAGACATGTCCCCAGAAACTAAGTATCTTTTGCTAACTAAACCCCACCTCCTAATGTTTACACAGCCTCCCACAAACACCTCCCTAGAAGCAAGTCATAGCCATATGGGCCTTTGGAAAACACAGGATACAAACTACAGCAGTCAGGAGCCTGAGGGATCAAATCACCTGGCCCAATCCCTTCCCTAGGAAACTTGTACAACCTGGCCCAGGAACCATAACATTAGAAAGCCAGACAACAACCCCTCTCCACTGAGCAGAGAGGGTTCTGCACTGTCCAGTTGTACTGCAAGGCTATGGCAGAGCCAGATGTCAAACCCCATCTTGCACAGCTGTGACAACCATGGCCTTGTTGCAGTCCACCGGCTGCTTCTCTGTTCCCAGGACACAGGTGGAGTTGTTTGTGTTCTAGCCGCAGAGGTTCTGGCCCACAGCTCAGGAGTTGGACTGTAGGATGGATTATTTAGGAGCTGGGCTGAACTCTGATTAGAGAAGTCACCTGCAGCGGGTGGATCCCTGCATGAATTTTCTCCCACCCATGCTGAGGCTGGGTGACCATGGGGCAGGTGGAGATGCTACGACTCTGAGCCTGTCCTCTGAGCCCCCTTCTAGCTGCTGGGGGCTGTGCTTTTAAGTTGATCTGCACCCTCTCCCTTCTAGATTGTCATCCCCTTCTTCAGCCTGCTAATCAAGGACATCTACTTTCTCAACGAGGGCTGCGCCAACCGCCTTCCCAATGGGCATGTCAACTTTGAGGTGGGTCCCCCAGGCCTTCAGGGATACCAGCCAGTGAGACAAGCTGCTAGAAGTTCCCAGCACAAACAAGGAGGCAGCTAGAGAGATGCCTTCAGAGAATCGCTTGTGATGCCCTTTACTGAGGACCTGAGTTCCATCCCCGGAACCCATGTGAAGAAAAGCTGAGTTTGTTGGCACGTGTTCATAATCCTAGACCTGCTAGGAGGAGAAAGTGGGATCTCTGGGGCTCTCTGGCCAGTTAGCCTAGCCTAATTGGTTAGTGCTAGGACAGTGAGAGACTCTTACAAAGCAAACTGGGGTTGTCCTCTGGCCTCTACTTGCCCACATGCACCTGTAATCATATAAACACAAACACACACACAGACAAAAGTTGCCAACATGGGCTGATAGCCCTGGATAGCTGGATTAATGGGGGCCTGTGAGTCACCTGAGATCCTGCAGACACCAGCTACAGGCCCAAGAGGCCAGGCTTGTGCTGTGGTTCTCAGGGGCAGGGGACACTCACAGGTTCTGACTGTCCCAAAGCTGGCAGTGCCAGTTGAGTGTCCAACCCAGCATGTGGGCCCAGGCTATTGTTTAGAGGCAACGTGGATGAGACTGCAGGGCAGTGATCCTGACATATAACTAGGAGTTGGGACTCAAATCATTTCATCTTTTTGAGTTGGTCCCTAGAATCAGAGCTGGGGAAAACTGTGAGATGCTCACTCACTTGTCCACACTGCTACTAGGGCTGATTGAGGCTCTCCATCACAGGCATGGCTTTGGCCTGTGTCCTGTTTTCTTTGTTACTGCTGAGGATAGCAAAGCAAATGGCATGTAGTTCCGATGGGATGAGTCGTCATGGAAGGGAAGGCATGGAGGTAGGAACAGGAAGCTGGTGTTGCATCTGCACTGCAGGAAGTGGAGTCCAAACAAAGTGGGGCCAGGCTGTAAACCATCAAAGCCCGCCCACCCCAGGGACCTCCTTCCCCCTGCAAATCTCCACCGCCCAAAGGTCCTAGAACCTTCCAACAGTGCCACCAACCAGGGAAGTTGTGGGGAGCATTTCACAGTCAAACCGAAGCCAGATGCTATGTGTTTAAAACCCTTCTAAAAGTTAGCACACTCTGAGTGTTTAAACACACATGCAGCCAGCCCTCTGTTTCCACGAGTTCTGCATTGGTGAGTGGAAAACATTTCTTATTTACATCTGTACTGAAGGAGTACAGACTGTTTCGCTTGTCACTGTTCCCAGAACAATGCACACAGAAACCATCTGTATAGCATTTACATTGTGTTAGGTGTGAGGAGGAACCTGGAGATGGTTTAAAGTATGCAACAATATCTGCTACCTGGAAATAATATACTATCTTAAAAGAGGGACTTAGGCCTCTGTGGATTTGGGTATCTTGGTTGGGGTGAAGGGATCCTAGAAACAATTGCTTGTGTATATTAAAGATGATTTTATTTAAAAATATACTTGAAATAATTTATTTAGAGCTGTTGACAGGCTTAGTGGATGACGTTACTTCCTGCCCTATGACCTGAGTTCCTTCCCTAGGATCTGCACAGTAGAAGGACAAAACTGACTCTGGCCAGTTGTCCTCTGACCTCCATGTGTGCACCAAGGTACACATATGTCTACAGATGTACATACATGCACAATAAATATTTAAATAAAATGTAAATCTGGGCTGCAGAGATAGCTCAGCAGTTAAGAACATGTGCTAATCTTCCACAAGCCCTCACTTCGCTTCCCAGCATCCATGTTGCTCCCAAATGCCTATGACTCCAGCTCCAGGGGTTCCAACACCCTCCTCTATCCTCTGTGGGCACCTGCACTCATGTACACATACCCACATACATACACATACTTCAAAGTAACATAAATCTCTTAAAATTACTTAAGTTTTATTTAAATAGATTTACTGAACTATATTTACAGCACCCTATAAGTCAACAAATATCACTTTCCCAAAAGAAAAACACAAAAAGAAATTCAAATAAAGTTATGCACAGTCTTGTTACATAAAGGCAAAGGCTGAGAGCAGTCAGGTATGGAGGCTCACACTTTCAATCCCAGCACTCTGGAGGCAGAGTGAGGAGGATCTCTGTGAGTTCGAGACCAGCCTGGTGTACATAGGTAGTTCCAGGCCAGCCAGGGCTACAAAATGAGACACTGTTGTTGTCCATTGTTTTTTTTTTTTTTTTTTTTTTTAACTCTGGCTCTTTTGGGGAGGGGGGATACCACCCAGCTCCCAAATAAATCACACACAGAGGCTTATTCTTACTTATGAATGCCTGGCCTTAACTTGGCTAGTTTTTAGCCAGCTTTTCTTATCTTTAATTAATCTCATCTACCTGTTCCCTTTGGGCTTTTAATCTTTTTTAAGTTCTGTATATCTTACTTGCCTTCTCACTCTGTGGCTGGTAGGGTGGCTGGGTGGCTGGCCCCTGATTACACCTCTCGGTGTTGTGACTGGTTGCTTGCGCCTCTCTTTCTTGTTTCTGCTTTTATTTATACTCTCTGCCTGCTGGCCCTGACCATCCTTGCTCATGCCTCGCTATTAGCCGTTCAGCTCTTTATTAGGGCCACCGGGTGTTTTAGACAGGTGCAGTAACACAGCATCACAGAGTTAAACAAGTGTAGTATAAACAAAAGTCACATACCTTATAATGATATTCTACCACACACTGTCTCAAAAAGTTATGGGCCATTGGCTGCCATCCCCTCGATGGGGAAGCTGGGAGCCTGAGGCAACAGGTGTTACTGATTGCTAAGAGGTATGAAGGAAAACTGGCAAGGCAACTCTCACAGAACTGCCAGCATCCTTCCTAGGTTCTGATGTCACCTCTGGTTCCATATTCCTCTTCAGATCCACAAGATCAGTCAAGGGTGATGAGCCAAGGCTTTGCCAAGGCAAGCCACTTACTTTGCTCCATTTTGTGATTCTGTGTCTGGCAGAAATTTCTGGAACTGGCCAAACAGGTTGGAGAGTTCATCACTTGGAAACAAGTGGAATGTCCTTTTGAGCAAGATCCGAGCATCACCCATTACCTGTACACTGCCCCCATCTTCAGCGAAGACGGTAAGGTAGCTCCATGGCCTGGACATTCAGGCAGTAGGACTGTCCAATGGTGTTTTGGTCCTTTAGACAGTCACCAGGCAGGGACCCCAACTCTGGGCAGAGACACCTCACATTCAAACTTGCTGGTCCCAAATGGAACAGAGAAGGTACATTCCCTTGTCTAATCAGCACCCCAGTGCCTCCTAAGGAGCACAGGACCAACCCAACAGGTCACAGGATAGGACCTCAAGGAGCCCTGAGTCCAGATTCCTCCCTGCATGCAGTGTGTTCATTGTTGAGCATCCTAACCATGAGTAGCCTGTCCATTTGCCATGAGCATTCTATGTTACAAGCATAAGTGAACATGGTTGTCTTTCTACAGTGTCAGAATTTTATACACTATGGAAGAATTAGTGTAGGACTAGGCTTATCTCAACATCAACCCCCCACTACTTTCCTCATTAATAAGATGAGAGTGAGAATAAGAACTGGGGCTCATATGAGGAGAGTGGAGCAATGGCCCAGTTATGGGTCTTTCCATGGATGGTGCATGGGTGGGGGCACGTGTGAAGGCAGCATGTGATACACACTGGCATGAAACATTGGTTTCTGGAAACCATTGAACTGAAGGCCTCACACAGCTCCAGGCAAATGTTCTATCACTGAGCTATATCCCCCAACCTCTTGTTTTTATTTTGAGGCAGGGTCTCACTAAGCTGCCTGGGATGGCTTTGAACTTGTTTTGTAGCTCAGGCAAACCTGCCATTGTGATTCTCCTCCCTCAGACTCCAGAGCAGCTGGGATTGAAGGCTGTGGCACCAGGTCTGGCTTGTTGAATGCACAGATTTAATGGCAGCAGTTTCACTCTGTGGAGATTTGTTGGGACATACGGAGTCGTAACAAACTGTGTCACATCCCAGGAAGCATATGTGTAGACAAAGAGGTCTTGATTTGGGGTTTGTTTGTATTATTTTTTTGCTGTTACCTTTATTTTTTGTTTTGTTTGTTAGAGCAGGGTCTCACTGTAGCCCAGATTAACTCTAAACTCACACTTGGGTTCCCCAGTGTTGGGATTATGGGCAGGGACCAGCATACCCAACTGACAAAAAGTTTATTGTAAAACTGAGTACTATTAACATTTTATGACCAAGAAATTGCACTCCTTGGCATTGGTTTATTCTAGATGAATGATATCCATGCTCACAGAGAAACAAAACCCTGTATATCAGTGTCTATAAATTCACTTTGTTATAATCTCAAACTGAAAACAACCCCAGTGTGTCTGTGGGTGAATGGCTAAATGAACTGTGATACCCCCCTACTTTAGACTTTTTCAGACACAAACAGAATACATGCCATTGACACAAGCCACTTCATGGCATGATTTTATTTATATAAAATTCTTCAAATTATTAAAATAAAGAAATGGAGAATAGTTTATGATTGTCAGAAATTAAGAAAAGAGGTGGTGGTCTGGGATGTGGATAGAATGCTGCCCTCCATTCAATCTCCAACATCATAGGAAGGGAGGAAGGGAGTAAGGAAGAGAGGGAGGGAGGAAGGGAAGGAGAGAGGGAAGGAGAGAGGGAGGGAGGGAGGAAGGGAGGGAAGGAGGGGAGGGAGGGAAGGAGGGGAGGGAGGGAGGGAGGGAGAAAGAGAGGAAGGAGAGAGGGAGGGAAGAAGGGAGGGAGGGGAATGGAGGGAGGGATGAAGGGAGGAAGGAAGGAAGGAGGGAGGGAGGGAGGAAGAGAGGGAGGAAGGAAGGAGGGAGGAAGGGAGGGAGGGAGGGAGGAAGGAGGGGAGGAAAGGAGGGAGGTGGAGGGAGGTTGAGGAGGAGAGGATAAAGGAAAAAAGGGGACAATGAAGGAGGTGGATGTGACGCTAAAACTGCACCTTTGCCCATGGGTGCTTTAGTTGTTATGGAAATAACCTGTGTCTGAATTCTGCCAGTGTCATTGTCCTGATTATGGCAATACTGTACCAGGGTAGCTCAATTCATGATGGAATTACACACCAGTAAACCCATGCTAATGGAAATACTGTAAGTCAGAAACACATCTCTAGTACCCCTAGACTATGCATCATCATGGCTTAGTCCAGCAAACATGCTTAGAACACTAACATTACAGCATCCAACAGTCATCTAACACAAAGGCAACTAGTTTTGTTATTTTGCATTTGTTTTGTTTTGGTTAGTTAGTTAGTTTTGAGACAGAGTCCCACTATGTAGCTTTGGCTAGCATGAAACTTTCTATGTAGACCAGGCTGGCCTTGAACTCACAGAGATCTGACTGCCTCTGTCTCCCGAGTGCTGGGCTCAAAGGTGTGCCAGCAAGCCTAGTCTAACATAAAACAGATTATATCACTATATGCACAACAGTCCATTTGTTTACTGAGTAAACTGTATGTGTTGGAGTCACATGACTGAGGGGGCTGTGGCTGCAGCTCAGAAGGGAGCATACTTTCTATTGCTAGCCAAGGGAAGAATCCAATTTAAATTTCAGAATGTGTTTTCTACAAATTTCTCTTAAGTACTATGCTTTAGCATCCTGAGTAGAAAAAAAAATGTACATTAAACCATCATTATAGTTTTGCACATGGCTACTGCTGGTGGAAACTGGGTAGTTGGGGCCATGGGATCTCTGCATGCTGCCTATGAACAATGATCTCCAAACGAGAAGTTTAATTCACAAATAAAAAGCAGGTCAAGTTCTAGGTGAACAAAGAGTTGCGGCCACCTGCCGTAATTGCATAATTTCACTTCTGTTTTGGTTTAGGTCTGTATTTGGCTTCCTATGAGAGTGAGAGCCCAGAGAACCAGACAGAAAAGGAGAGGTGGAGATCTCTAAGGTAGGTCTGAGTGCCGGGATGAGGCATGCAAGGTGGGTGGAGGGAGACACCTGGACCACTCGGGGCCATCAGTGTCCTCCCTGGGAGGAGGGAAGAGGAACAAGCCAGGACCAGAGAGACCAGAGCAAAACTCGGGGGCTACGGATATTGGAAGGAGACTGAGTCAGTGACCCTTACTGGGGTCACTGCACCTCTGCAGGATGGTCAGGATGCATATCCCAGGGCCAGGAACTCCTGCTCCATATTTTTACGCCAGAAAATAACACACATGCCCGTGTATGTCCCACCCCACCCCATACACACTGTCTCCAGCTCGTTCAGCCCATCAGCACAGCCAGGTGGAAGTCAGAAACAAGCAATAGGCTCAGAGGGCTGAGCCAAAAGGATCTGCCACACCCTCTCTGGCCACCTCCACCATGCTGAGAAGGTACCTGGCCACCAGGAGGGGCTCACCTCGCTCTCTATGTGTCTGAATCTGTAGATCTTCTATTCTGGGGAAGACATGAGGAGTCCTGAGACAAAGGAGAAGGAGGAAGTAATGGAGCTGACACAGCCCATCCCAACCCTGTCACAGATGGCCCAACAGGTGGAAGTTGATGCAAAGCCTCACAACTTTGCAAACCAGACCCTGTGGCCTGGCACCTGCCACAATGGCCACATTGGCACAGGAAACCTTTTATGGTATCTCAGCCCTGGCTGACCTGCAGGGCCCCCAAGAGCATGGTTGACATGCCTTGGGCAAACTTTGCCTTCACGACCGAGTGGGTCACATACTCAATCTGTCCATTCTGGACAGGGACACAGCGCTACCTAAAATGAGCTGGGTGACTGCAATCATGTGATCTTGTTGAGTGGCATGTGCTATGGAGAATAACACCGCCATCTGTCACCAGGTGGCTTGGGAACCTCTGTAACTGCAGCAGGAATCATGGTGCAACATGAGGTGTGCCTGTACCAGCTCAGAGCCCTCTCTGGCCCCTGGCATTCTGCTGATGGCCCCTGCCTGTCCCTCCCAATGGACTTGTTTCTGTAGTCACCCATCTCCTTCTGCATCCTGCTGGTATCAGGATAGCCTTCTGGCGGACAGCAATGAACCAAGTCAGGAAGACTGACGGGAGTCATGGAGTCGGCAATGTGTATATTATGACCTTCTGCCTAGCTCCCTTGTAAACTTTAGAATCAGAGTAAATACACATTTGTACGCCTGTCCTGCACATGAGTGTCCATAGTGTGTCTCTGATTCTTAGGTACAGGATGCGCTTCAACACAGTACAGTACCTGGTTCCCAGATCCTCCTGGGAATGTATCAATATGCTTTCAGAGTGGGATGTGGGACTGGGAGATGGCTGTCAGAGAAGTACAAATGTGTTAAAGCCAGGTGTTGGTGGAGCACATCTGTAACCCTGGTGCTGGGTGAGCAGAGATAAGCAGATTCCTGGAGCTTGCTGGCCAGCCAGGGTAGCCAGTTGCTGAGCTGAAAGGTCATTGAGAGACTTTGTTAAATAAATAGGTGGAAAGCCCCATCCCTACCTCCAGGCCACAAAGACAACTTCAAGGGCCCATGAGGGATCCCTGGGATTCTAAATGAGTTCTAGCATCATCCAGCTAAGACGGCCTCCTCTGTCTCATGCAACTCCTCATTGATGTCTACTGGAGTTTGGGGAGTGCATCAGCCCTGGGGCCTTAACTATGGCCAGTGACTTGTCCACATCTAGCCCTCCACGATAATTTAGATTGATACATCCAAAACTATGACTTTGACAGGATATCAGTTACTGTTTAATGGCCTAACAAAATACTTGAAGAGACTAACTTAATAAGGAGGCCTAGTTAGCTCACAGGACATGGCACCTGAATGGACTCAGCTCCAGCAAGCCCCTTATGTAGCACATCAGGGCAGATTACAATAATGGAGGGTTATGAGAGTAGAGGATTGCCAACTCCACAGAGAGCCAGAGAAAGTTCCTCCCCATGACTCCCAAGAGGCCTCATAGAGAGAGCAATACCCCCAGTTGCCTCAAGAACTGCATTAGGGTCCCTTTCTTGAAAGCTCCAAGACTGCCAGGCCATGGTGTCACACACCTTTAATCTAGCACTCAGGAGGCAGAGACAGGCAGATCTCTGTGAGTTTGAGGCCAGCCTGGTCTACAAAGCTAGCCAGGGCTTCACAAAGAAGCCCTATCTAGGGGGAAAAAAGCCCCAAAGTTCCTCTTAGTACCACCATCCAGGGACCACGATTCCAACACATGGACCTCTGGGTAGTGACACAGTTGCCAAACAAGAATGGGGAGTTGCCACCAAAATTACAAATGATTGAATGTTGTCTGTTGTCACAGGAACCAACCTCCTCACATGGGACGAGGGTGCTTGAGGCACTGACAAGAAAAGGTACCTCTGTGACCCCCACAGTGGCTGTGTCCATCTGTACCCACCCCAGCATGGCTCAGGAGTCCCTCCCAAACCCTCAGCAGCAGCAAGACCCATGCCACCCAAATAAGGAAATAAAAACAAGAAAGATCATGAGGTTCTGCAAACATATAATCCAATACAAGAAAATGAACGGGAAATACTGGAGAGACAGCAGACTGGTAGTGAGCAGGAGCTGGGAGGACTAGAGCAAGGGAGAAGCCCGGACACCTGGAGAAGCCTCAGTTAAGAGTAGCTGGAGAATGGGCATTCCTGTAGCCACAGAGTGCCTCTGGGGATAGAGAAAAGGAAGAAATGGGGTGGGGGGATTGGAGGCCTTTGTTACAGGCCTCTCAATACTCTGAGTTATTACAAACAATACTTGGACAAAAAAACTGAATCTCTAGGCCAGATGGGGTTGTATGCCTATGATCTCAACACTCAGGAGGCTGAGGCACAAGGATCTGAGGACAGTCTGGGCTACATAGCAAGACCATATCCCAAAAATAAACCTTTCCACCTCTAGTACCTTGGGTTTGGGGTACATCTCCATGGTAGATCACTTGCCTAGAATATACAGAGTCCTGAGTTCAATCCTTAGCACTTCAAAAACATTACAATAATCTGAAGTGAGAGATGGGATCGAGCGCCCAAGACTGAGAGCCTGTGGTCTTGCACAGAGCCCTGTGTAGTATGAAGAACTCTGTGGACAAGCTCCTCCAGCAAAGTAGCTGGACTTTCTAAAGTTTATTCAGGAAAAACTGTACTTTGGAAATGGATCAGTGACTGAAATGTTTCCAGTGCAAACACAAGGGCCTGAGTTCAGATCCAGAGCAGCACACGCCTGTGACCCTGGCACAAGCGGAGGAGAGACAGGTGGGTCCCAGGAGCTCATTGACCAGCCAGGCTAGCCAAAACGTGAACTCCAGGTTCAGTGAAAAACCCTATCTCAAAAACATAAAGTGGAGACTAACAGAAACCACAGCATATTGACATCTGGTCTCCATTCTCATGCACAGGTAAGCACACCAACACACACACACACACACACACACACACACACACACACACACACACACGAAAAAAAGAAAATCTCCTAAAACACTGTTAAGAACTATGAGTCTTGTGGCATTAGCACTGTGCTCCCCGATGTAAAAATAGTGGGAATAGAATAAAGAAGCAGGAAGAATTCTGCTATTGATACAATAGCAGAAAACTTCCAAAATTTGATGGGAATATTATACATCTAAAGGGTTCAATAAACTCCAACCAGGATGGAGTAAAAAGACACACAGACACAGACAGTCAAACACCCCCACACAAACACACACCACATGCACATACACACTGTAGTAAAAGTACTAAGCAAAGAAAAAGTTTGAATGAAGCAAAATAAAAATGGCGTACCATCTACACAAGGACCCCAATAATATGAATGGCTGTGATATAATAATATCAGAGGCAGTGGGGCCAGAGAGAGGGGCTGGAAGATGCCAGAGTGTCCCCTAGAGTGTGCCCCCTGGTCAAATGTGTGTGCCAGTGTAAGGGTGTGTTCCTCAGCTCTCTGTCACTGTGACAAAAGGTCTGAACTAAATTAGCTCTCAGGAGGGAAGCCTTACTTTGGTTCATCTCAGAGATTCATGAGCCATGGTTGCTTGGCTCCCGTAATGAGACAGTAGGTCACGGCAAAAAGCACAAAGTACACAGAACACTCCACTGTAGCCCAGAAGCAAAAGAGAAGAGGAGGGAGCCCGAGTCCCCCTACATCCTCTTTGAGGGCATTCATGACCTCAGTAACATAACTTCTCTCTGTGTTGGCTCCACCTCCTTAAGGTTCTGCCATCTCCAAGAGCAGCTGGCAGCCACGTCTTGGGCATGTGGACCCCTGGAGGATATTGTGGTTGAGTAGGAAATGGCCCCTTGAAACTGTGTGAACACTTGTTTCCCAGCTGGTGGTGCTGTTGTGGGGGTTGTGGAACCTTTAGGAGGTGGAGCCTGGCAGGTGGAGGTGAGTCTGGCTTTGAGGCTTACAGCTTGGCCTTGACTTCAGACCTTTCTCTGTTCCTGCTCTGCCCAGCTGTGTTCCAGTCACCCCAACTATCATGCCTTCGCCACCATGGTGGACATTATCCTCTCCAGCCACAAGCCCAAATCCTTCTTCCATTTAGATGTTTCTTGCAGGTATTTTGTCCCAGTGATGGAAATGTAATGAGTGAAGGGGACATCGAAGACATAAGCTAGAGAGCAGAGGTGAGCGACTGGAAGCCAGGCTGGTGTGTGCAGAGATGTCACCTCTCACCTTCTGGGTCCTTGATAGCTATCATGACTTGGATGTGAAATGTCCCCCCACGGGTTCACTGGTTTGAAGGCTTGGTCACCAGCTGGTGGTGACATAGTTAGTAGAAGTGTGTCCTTAGAGACAATCCTTGAACACTGAGCTCTCTGCCCGAGCCCCTCCATCACTACCACATTTCCCCACCAGAATGGAGTCAGAAAAAAAAATCTTTCCTTCCTTAAGTCACATTACATAACTTGTCATAAAGATATAGGAAAAGTAAGAGCCATGAAGAATCATGACAGTCACATTAATATATATATATATATGTGTGTGTGTGTGTGTGTATACACACACATATGTATATTATACATACATACATATTTGGAAAGATGGTCCTGAGGTTACTGTGTCAGGTGGGAAAGAAAAGGAAAATCTAATGATACTGAGAGACTTGGGGGGGAAGTGTATAAGGAACAGAGAGCAAGGCTTTCTTTAATTATTAATATTTTACTTTTAGTTGTAAATATAGATGGGGTGCACAAATTCAGTATCTGCAGAGGCCAGAAGAGGGCATTATATCACCTAGAGCTGGAGTTAGAGGCTGTTGTGAGCAGCCCCAGTGTGGGCGCTGGGCACCGACCTCTGGATCTTCTGAAAGAACAGTGCATGGTCTTAACCGCTGAACCATCTCTCGAGTCCAGGGGCCAAGGGTTTAGATCTGAAAAGATAATGAAAATTGCTTTCCTAAATAGCTGTGTCTCCATCCAGTCCCCTATTGGTGACTTTCTGTGGAACATGTCAGGCACCAGAAGCCTTAGCTCTCTGCTTTTTGCTAAATTTACAATAAAGTGGCCAGCCTATAAGTAGCAACTTATAGATTGATTTTTTTTCTTTTAATATTGCATTAAAATAGTAGCCTGATTGCTGAGTTTTGTGCTGCCCTCTTCAAGTCTGAGCCTGGATGTATACTATGGAGGCTTGCAGAGTGAGTAGTGCCACTCGGAAACACTAGGAGGTGCCCTCTTCCCATCGCCCCCTACTCAGCTCCAGCACAGGCTTGGCTGCGCCCCCACCAGACAGTAGCTCCACTCTGAAGCCTAACCCAGACTTCTAGGTACCAGAAGGCATTGCTGACCTTCCCACTGGCATCTCCTCCTCTACCATCCATCAGTTTGTCCCAGGCCCATTTCTTCCCCCAAAATGTCCTGGGGAGATCTTTCTCCCAGTTTG